AATCTTAATAAAAATATGTAGGTTCTCAAGCTTACTTTGTGCCAGAAGTCTGTTCAAGTATAGAACACATTTTTTCCATAAGGAATAATGTAAATTATCAGGTAATCAAAAAAGGTTGTGCAGTTTTTGAGGTTAAAATTAAAACGTTAAAAAGTGAATGAAAATATTTTATTTAGTAAAGTAAGCATCATCACAAGCTACAATTTTTTCTCAACAAGATTAAAGTTTGGGATTTTTTCAGAGTGGTATTTACAATCTTTAGATCACAGAAATTTTTCAGCTCCATTTCCAGTACTGCTGTTTTAAAACTGTCAGTTTAACTAACTACTAGACTACTACTAATTACTTACTCACTACTTTACTAACACTAATAATTAAATTACTTATAAATAACTACAGACTGATATGTAGAGCCTATATAAGAAAACTGGTAAGACTGATAGCCACTTAGCCACTGATTATCTGTCCTTATATTATTATAATATAATATATTAATACAAATTAATTTGTAGAATTATCTTTCCTATCATTTAACTTAAAGATTACATTATAATTATAATCTAACTAAACATTTAAAGTTAATTATCTCTATCTCAAGTGTTAAACTGAACCAAAGTTACTACCTACATGTGTAAGAAGTTTTACTGATTTATAGTGACCAATGTAAATAATAATAAGTTTCTTAAGTATTTAAAAAAAACGCTTTATTTTAAAAAAAAAAAACCCATAAATTTCTGGATAGATAGATAGATAGATAACACTTTATTACACCAAAAAACATCCGCGCATCATTCCAGCTGGATCCAGCTCGAATGATGTTGGTCCAGCAAAAATCCAGCTGGATTAAAAACACTGCTGGATTGCAATCCCTATTGTTCATCATATTAGTTCAAGGATGTTTGAGTTCTTGCTAGACAACAATATATGATCTATGGTTGCTAACTTGCACATTGGCTCAGGAGACAAGGGATCTCATTCTGCAGAGCATTGATTTTGGACCAAAAGGAGATATTAGTGGTTGAAAGTGGAGTTAACTCAGTTTGGTCAACTAGTAAGTCCAGTGAAAATTTTTTTTGTGTGGCAAAAATTATTTGTTGACATATAGATGTTGCAACCAGAGCATTATTAGTATTGTTTCATTTGCTGCTTTTCTCTTACCTACAAGTTGCTTCAGTTGGTGCAGTAATTAACTAGGGGGTATGATCAACCAATTCTTTTTGTATTAATAGTTGTTGCAATTTATGATGTTTACTGTCTGTGGTTCTCTTTATAACAGTCAACCCAACTTCAGAATGTTGTATTTATTATCCACTAGTGGGTAGACGAATATTTCTTGCACTTCAGATGTGATTGATGGAGGTAAAGATGATACCAGACAAGCAAATTTGGTATCATCATTCATGATTGTGTGATAATGCACGAAGCACCCCCTATTGCTTCGGCACCGCGGGACCAAAGGGTCGACACCACTTTGTTGATGCCTGCATCATCAGGATTCTGACACCACTGTGTCTTTTCAGACAGAGACAGAAACCTTTTTTGTACAAGCAGTTATGTCTGTAGGCACTAGGACTTGGGATGGAGATGGATTGGGTGAAAGAAGTGCACTTTACAACTCGATTACGAAAATAATACCCATTTATTGATTAAATAAACTATTTACACATATACATAGGATAACAGAGAGTTCCATTATAGCTTTCATATAGTGTCATATAATGGATAAGGCTTATATATGTAACATAATTGATTAGGCTTTATACTAGGAGGTATTGTTTCAACGTGTTCCTAGCTGAGAGAGAGAGAGCTTACACTTTTATGTGCAGTGCTAAATACCTTGCTTGGCCGAATTAGCTTGATCGAAGTCTTGAGTTTGCAAAACGTCCTGATGATGGGGTGGAGAGGTTTCAACTAGGTTGGGTAGAGTTAGGCTCCTTGATGGTACAGTTCACTATCAAATGTTCGTTGCTAAGGTATCTACAGCAAACGGCGGTTGAAGGGATCAGCATTGGAGCACGGTTAAACTACACTCACATGATAAGGAGGTGGACCGGTGAACTCCCTCTTGCGTCATAAGACTCGTTCTTTTATTCTGGGGTCTTCCCCCTCACTGTTCATGCCTTTCTTTGGCCCATGTTACCATTTTTGACCAATGGTGAATATTTGTAGTTAGTTCCTGGTGACACATTCAATATGTCACCTCGGAAAGAAAGTGACTTTGGGATGAAAGATGCAATCATCCTCTGGTAATTAAATTGAAATTTTTCACTGGAATTTAAACCAATTTAAAAAAATTTTGTTTTTCACAAAATTTTTGTCAAGTCTGGGGGCTCACAATTGGTTACAGCTTATTAAGGATAAATTGTGCCTTGATATTTGAGAACCAAAATTCTGGGTCAAATATTTGACCAAAATGGCAGTATCTTGATTGAGTCCATTGTCCATTAGGAAGTTGATTAAAATTTATTTGTTTGGCTTATTTGAGTCACCAATTCAAATCTATGTTTTGAAAATTAATTGTTAGTTTTGTTGTTATAAACACATTATAATTTTTGTGATTTAAAATAATGGGAAATATATATACCTGGTGTTGGGTTAGAAAAAATGCACCTTAGGAGTGCCTGATGAAGCAAGAATGTTACCCAGCATAGTATAAAATACAGAGTTTTCTATTATTCTTTTGTTATTATATGGAAAAGTTTTTATTGTGCATTAATTCTTAATGTGGGATTTTTTTTTTATTAGATATTGTTTTGCTTGTTGACAGTATAACAGATGTCTGAAGTATGTTGTGCTAGCCACAGAAAAAAACAGGTTTATGAAAAATTTTAAATAATTATCCTACTAAAACATATTTAATAGATGTGAATGATACACTATGCTATAGTAATGAATACATAACAGCATAGATAAAATGAAAATAGTTTTGGTAAGTTAAAATTTAGAACAAGTAACAGGTTTTTTCCTGTGGGATTAATTCTTGAAAGGTTCTAAAAAAACAAGAGAAGATAAAGAAAGCAAATGTAACAAAGGAAGAATGAATAGTTGGAAGCAAATGTCTGATTTGAATAGATGAAAAGAAACAATTGTTAGACTTAATTTAGCTTTAGTTCATCAGTTCTATGTTTAAAAGTTTTAATTGGTAAATAGAAATCTTGCTGCAAATTACAAATAACAGTTGCTAAAGGAAAAATTTATGTTGATCAACTATGTGGATCTTCTCTGAATCAAGTATATCAAAAGAATAGTTGAATTGAACTATTTAAGGCAGGGGTGGCCAAAACGTGGCGCATGCACCAAAGTGGCACATTGGATGATTACAAGTGGTGCTTCAGTTAGTTCTGAGCAAAATTGCCAGATTTGGCTTTTTTGCGATTAAGAATATTATATAGAAAAATAAATTTTTGTAGTCTGTCTTGGCAAGTTCATTTGTTGCACAATTCGTTACGGTCTATTTTGCAGATAAAATGAGTATTCTCCACATAGTAAATTACAATGTATGCATGTATTTTGAGTCGTGCGATCTTTATTTCCGATCAGTTTACAGGCTTGTAAATGGCCGAAAACATTTACTGTGATTAAAGTTATTCCAAGCTGATCTTGTTTTCAGTGCCAATAATTGTGGTGCAGAGTAATCTTCACCAAACGAGACTCTGGCAGCAATAGCACCATCATGAAGCAATCACCCTCTCGTACAGGAGATCATTGTTGACTATTGTAAATTGGTGCTTCAATAAACTGTCATAAATTAATTAATTCAACTGCATGATTAAGTTATTCCCTTTTCTTTCGTAAGCGAAGCAGATTTATTCTTCTCTCTATTTATCAACCCCTAACATTGAATTTAAGACTATAAAAAGTGTTCGAGTTATATGGCGCATTTGAACTCGTCTGTCAAAAAATTGGCGCATGGTATGCAAAAGGTTGGCCACTCCTGATTTAAGGTGTTCAATGCAACAAATTTTCAAATGGTTGTTTTGCCTGAATGATGTGTCAAAATTTATGTTTACTGATTTTTTTTATTGCCTTATTTTTAAATTTTACTTCAAATATGCATAATTTGAAAACATGTAGATAAAATATTGATGATGAATTATAAATAAATTTTATATATCAAATTATAGAAATACTTATATTTTATTAAATAAGCTATATGATTTCAGTTCCGAGACGTATTCGTGTATATTCAGATGGCATTTATGATTTGTTTCATCAAGGCCATGCACGACAGTTACTACAGGCAAAAAATGCATTTCCAGATGTATATCTTATTGTTGGAGGTAAGTAATTTGAATAAAAAGTTTTGTATTATAAATATAATTGATGATGATATTAAATAATTTGAATATGCTGTGTTTTTAAAAATTAAAGGAAAAAAAACTCTTATTGGTCATGTTTTTGAGTGTGTGATATAGGGGTGACTTCATCTACCATATACATTATTATAGGGCATTTACACACACATATGCACCATGCTTAAATTCTACATTTGGTTAGGTTTATCAGATTTCAGGATGGGGAAGATAGTGTACTACTCTTCTAAAATAGCATTAAAATGCATTGTCATTGGACTTAGGTATGTTTTCAAAGTTTCGGTCTTCTATATTAATTAATTAGAAGTAGATGAAATTTGAGTTGCAAGATTTGAGGACATACAAAGCAAATTAAGTAAAATGAAAACTGGAAAAGATGTCTCCATGCGTATAAACAAAAGAAAGAAACTTGGAAGGGTTAAACTTATCAAGTTTTCTTTCTTTCATTTAAATAAAAAGTATTTAACAAAATATATATATATTTCATATATTCTATTAAATTTTTAGTGAATAATGACGAAATGACACATATGAATAAAGGAAGAACTGTTATGATGGAAGATGAAAGATATGAATCTGTACGTCACTGTAGATATGTGGATGAAGTTGTACGTGATGCTCCATGGGTTTTAGATAATGATTTTTTGGAAAAACATAAGGTGAGTTATAAGTTAAAATTGTGAATCACTATATCTAACTATATGCTTTGATGAGTATGTATTAAAGTAAATAAAAAATTTACAGATTGATTTTGTTGCACATGATGACATACCATATACAATGGGTTCTACAACTGAAGATGTTTATAAGGACATAAAAAGGAGAGGAATGTTTATTGCCACAGAGAGAACTGAAGGAATATCTACTTCAGATATAGTAGCTCGAATAGTACGAGACTATGATGTGTACGTTAGAAGAAATCTTGCTCGAGGCTATTCAGCTAAAGAAATGAATGTGTCATTTCTGAATGTAAGTTTTATATAAATAATATTTTATTCCAGGGGTCCCCAAAGTATAGCCTGTGTTGTTTCTAGACAATTAAAAAACTCACATTCTCCTGTGTTGTTTCTAGACAATTAAAAAACTCACATTCTAAGAACATATTTTACTTGTGTTAAATCAGTGTTTCTCAACCTCTAACGAATCGTCGCACCCTTTAACGTAGTATCGCCCCCCTTTAATAAAACCGTTATGTAGTATCGCCCCCTTCACTTCAAAATTCCGATGCCCAGGGCCAAGACTAACGCCAAATTCGTACTGCATTGAATAGACTAGTGACTAGTATAATGTTATTTGTTTAATTATTGTACGATATAACGAATAAAATATCTAATTATTCTTAATATAATGCTTTACTATATCGCCCAGAAAATTGTTTTTCGCCCCACAAAATATAAATTGTTACTAATTGCCCCCTCAACATGGAAAAACGCCCACGTGGAGGTGATATCGCCCCCGTTGAGAAACACTGTGTTAAATGATTTGAACTGAAGGCAGGGAGAGTAAGCAATATTTACTGTACTTAAAAACAGAGGTTCCATTTTTTTGGATTTTCCAATGACTACCTTGGGAAGTACAGATGAGAAAACTATAATAAATAATAATTTTTCTTATCTGTACCTCTCAAAATAAATGATATTTGTAATATATTTTGTTAATTTTTAATAAAGTTTTATGATTATTATTTTTTTCATCTGTGTGTTAAATTTCTCCGACCCAGTAGTCGGAATTAGTAGTGTTTCTCACCTCTTATCTCTTAAAAAATTTGGGGACCACTGTTTTATTCTATCAATATAGATATTTAAATAAAGAGAATACACATGTATGTCAGCAAAAATTAAATTTTATAATTTTATGTTTTTATTAAGTGCTAGCTGTAAGGACCCGCTTTGCTGGGTTTTTATTTGTTCATACATTTGTATGTAATATAGTTTTTTTATATATATAAAAGACTGTTTTTCTAAGTAATCTAGAATCTAGCTGCAAGAACCCGCTTTGCTGGGTTTTTATTTGTGGGCAAAAAGTAACGATAGTGAAGATTAAGATAATTACATTATAGCCAATCTTACCCGTTTTCACAGAATGCAAGAATTAGGTCCCCTGTTTCCAGACTAATTAGAGAATTTTTATGTCCAGTCAATTTTCTACAAAATTTTTTAGGAAAATTATTCTATAACATTCCTTTGTTTATACAGGCATAACGTGTCTTTATTATTACAATATATCCTTCCTATTGTGAACTATTTTCAATTTGATCAATTTTCTGGAACGTTTACAGTCTTTCTATAATCGAACCAATTCGAATTCGAAAATTTTTAAAATCGAAATAGAAAATCTTCCACTTCCAACCACTTTCAAGCCTATATCTCCCGCACCCTTATAGCTATCAAGACGCAACCACCATAGTGCACGAATGGAGACTTGGGGCTACTACCACATACAAACACCATTCATGTGCGATGTGTAGTTTTGGCTGAATAATAAAATATAGGGACACACACGTCCATTTATATATATAGAGTGTTAATTACTTATCAAACTTATCATAGATCTAGCTTAGAATCATTTTCAAAAATGCATAATTTTAAATGTTATAAGTTTATAATATAAACTTTGTACATGTATCTACTTAATTGATTGAAAAATCATTTAAATAATTAAGAAAAAAGATAAGTATATATTAAAAAACACATTTTATGTTTCAGGAAAAGAAATTCTTGCTTCAGAATAAAATGGATATTTTGAAAGACAAAATAGGTGGAAAACGTCATGAACTCATCCAGAAATGGGAAGAAAAATCTCGTGATTTCATCAATTCATTCCTTGAATTATTTGGACGAGAAGGTCGTTTGGTTAGTTTGAAGAACTTTTAAATATTAAAATACTTACTTTAAGCATTTAACATAAACAAGAGAATACAGTAAAACCTTATTTCGAAACTTAAGGGACCAAAAGACATGACTTTGAATTATCCGAACTTTTTTCAAATTGAAGTTTTTTGTAATTCTTGAATAAAATTATGACATTTTCTTATATATTTCACCAATTTGTTTACAAATATGTTAATATTGCAGGTTATTAGTAATTTAAGGTAATTTGAAAAACCATCAGTTGGCATGTACTTAATGAAAACAACCAAATTAAATTCAAAGTAAGACCTGAACATAATGTATGAAAGAAGCTTAAGTGCTTCAATAAGAATTAACCCGAATTTCATCTTGAGTTTGAGATTACAAAAACATCTGATCTGATGAAAATAGCTCTATTAATGGCTAAAGTTATAAATATGCATTCTATCATGAATACACACATGTATTTAATGGACTTTGGAATTATTGAAACAATAGAATTTTGGGAAAAATATCCAAAATAATTAAATGGGAAACCGATTTCTTCCATAAAAATAAAAAAATTCTCTTTTCATTGGCAGTGTGTACAATGTCCAAAATTATCTTGAACAGATGTCCAGTAAATCAATAATGTATAATTAGTGAAACTGAAACTGACACTTGGATATGGAAACTTTCTTATAAACTTGTAATATGATTGATGGAAGATTCTGAATTATCTAAGCTAAAATATATGCAAAATCCTATTCTCTTGGCCAGGCTTGACTTTACTTCAAATTATCTGATATTGAAGTAATGAGGTTTTACTGTAGTTAAATTATTCAATAAAGCTTTATAATTCATTAATTACATTATTCAGAATAAAGTAATTGAAATTAATTTTTAAAGTATGTTTTTAGTTTTTTACAACAATATTTCACTATTTCAGTATAATTTATATCTTCAAATTTTTGAGAAAATAGATCATCATAGAAATCTTATTTGAATATATTTCATACATAGCCAATTGTGTTTCTTTACAGCTTCTAGTGAATTTATTATAGTATATTGGTAAGATAATGTTAAATACTAATATATTACATTGTAAAGAAAATATAATTTTACACATATTTGAGTATGTATTCCAATCTGATGTTAAGAGCTAGTATTGCTATGTTTACAACTATGGTTTTATTATATTAAATATAATAGATATTTAAATAGACTAGTCAAAAAACAACTTACAAATGACCATTTTATTGAATTTTGTATATTGTAGAATTTTATTGAAGCTTTAAAATTATGCAATTGAAAGCATATACAGTAGAGCATCATTTATCTGAATCAATTGGGGACTGGGGTTGTTCGGATAACTTATTTTTCAGATAACCGATTATGTATGAAAAATATATTAGCCTATCTCATGTTGAAATTTTTCTCCGTTGCATGTCGCTTCACATTGAATTTTTGTCGATGTTAAGCTTAATGTAAATTTTTATAATAATAATCATAACTATTGTATCATTAAAAATTATTTCTTTATTTTGTACAAACAAAATGAATATATTAAAAAATATAAAAACAAATAAAAATTATACTTTAGAAGTTAATCTAGTATCAAAAACGTTCGATTCAGCATGACACACAATCCTGAGAAAAATACCACACAAAAGTGCCAGTGCTGCCAGCTAAAACACACACACCAACAAAGAAAATATTGGAGTAGCCCAAGACATAGCCAAAGGTTGCAGCACCACAGCAACTAGCGGAAGTTTAAATTTTCCGACTAGAATGCTTTCGGTTAACCGACACTCTACTGTATTATACTTTGCAATACTTTCCACATGGTCACTGAGTTTATGTAAACATTTCTCTGAATGTACAACTAAAAGTTCTTTTTATTGATAGAAATCTGCTCCTTGGTCATTTAGCCACTGTTGAAGCACTGTTTGTACCTGCTCATTTTTAGAAATTGTTGTCTTCTAAAATATTCTTTTAGCTTGAAAGGTGTGATAATTGCAGAGTGATAAATTGAGATTGTATAGTATCTGTTGCCGTATCTACCATCCAAAACTTTACAGTAATTTTCATGTTTGTGTGTTGCATGGTATATGTTGTCATGAATAAGAACAATATCTTCATTTAACTTTTCATTCTTTTGTTTTTCATGATTGTTTTCTAAAACAATGTTTAGCAATATGAGTTTATCTGAAAGGCAACAAGGTTGTGGTTCATTGATAGTTTGGGGAGCAATGAGATACTGAACAAATTGCAATTTAAAACTTTTAAAAGGCAATACAAATGCATAAAATCATTTTTCTACATTTTGTGCAAGTTATGGCAGGAAACAAAGATTTTTAGGATGACAATGCATTCATTCATATGGCTAGGTATCAAAGGTGTGATTTGAGAGAAAAAGGCTAGAAGTAATGAAATGATTTGTCACCAGATTTATATCTAATAGAGAATATTTGGAGATGTTAACACTTGCTTAAAATATAACTGAACTTAAAACTATAATCATAAATGCTTGGAAAAACTTGCCTCATCAAAAACAAGACATAATTCTTGGCATGCTAAACAGACTTTTTGAAATAATAAAATATCTAGGTAAATGAACAAAATATTAGAACTTTAAAACTAAAAAATTGGTCCTGTGGCTAATTTCTGTTGCACTCATTTTGATAATTTTTTTGTTGCTATTTGACATTTTAAATTTGCAAAATAATAATGTTTTAATTTCATAATAATAAATTTTTTAATTTTTAATTTTAAAGTTCTATTATGCAAAATTCTTATTTTTATTATTTATGAAATTGTAGCAAATTTTTGGATGCAGTTAATTTTTTTGTTGCATACCATTTAAGTAAAATATTAAAATTTATCATAAATTTCAAAAATTTTATGTAATGAGTAAAGTTCAACTATTCTATGTCAGAGAAGTCTTTGTCAGAAGTCTTTCTCATCTTTCTCCTCTTCACTATGAATGAGTGTTGTTGTTGTTGTTGTTGTCATAAGAAAGACACCTTGTGATCCAAATTTCAATGATTTGTTCTTTATTTTACACATATACACATTGCACCAGGAAATGAGTTTGCACACTGTCCAAGCAAAATTTCTTCTCACCTTCTCTGCAGTACATACAAGGCTTTCCATGTATAGTATATGTACTTTCTTCTCACTTCCTCTGGACAGTCTAGATGGACTTCTTTCTCATCATTGTCCCTCTTTTTAAGAGATTCTCCAGGCCTAACCATTATCCAATCTGTAGCTGGGCCAGTATTGTTCATTCAGGTTTGCCCGTTTGGGACTCTTGACTAATTGAAGCCAATGATGTTTTTTCTGAAATTTCATAATTAGTCCCTAAAAGATATCTGTCTTAGATATGGTTATCTGTGGCCAGAAATTATATGTCATCTTGCTTTGTATGATATATCTAAGGTTAGATATGCAAGCTTAATCCATGTACATTTTTAAAATTAATTACAGAAACATTAAAACTAATTGCTTTTTTGCCTTTTTGGCTTAAATTGAACTAAACACCATAACTTTTATGTTTTAAAATGTGTTATTCATATTAATTTTGTATTAGTGTCCAGAAATGTTACCCTAGACATAGCTTTCAATATAATAATATAGTGGGTGATCAGTTAATGAACATAATCCATTCCAAGACTGTGTTCACTATCCGATTATTGATTTACCATAGATTTTTATGAGAATTTGATTAATTTGTCTTGGAGACCCCCAAAAATAAAAAAATTATAAACTTTCTTACTACATTTATTTATATACGATAATAAAAATACATTAAAAAGAATGAGCTCAGCAAATAATTAACTTATCACACTACACCTTTTTTTGCTGAGATAGTTTTATTGAAAAAACTAACGTTTTTGGCCTACTCTATAGGCCATCCTCAGGCTTAACGGCTCAGGCTTAAAGAGTAGGCCGAAAACGTTAGTTTTTTCAATAAAACTATCTCAGCCAAAAAAAGGTGTAGTGTGATAAGTCAAAAATAAAAATACATTTATACACAGTTTTGCATTTTCATCGGTCATGTTTTTTTTGTTTGTATTAAAGAATCTGTCCAATGTCAATTGCTTTTCTCTCTTCTTCAGGATTTTTCGGAAGTAATTAATAGCATTATTGTTGTAGGGATCCCTAAACCCATTAACCTCAACCTGGTTTGGATGCCATTCTCAGACTGTTGTTCTGACATCCTCCCACTTCAAAACATCTTTATTAGCAGATGTTGGCATTAATCCTCTTTTTCAAAAGAAAACATATCATGCAGAGTTTCTTGGCATTTTTCATTCAAGAGTTCTTGGCATTCTTCTGTCATCAGATCAGTTTCAGATTTCATTATGACTTCTTCAATGTTCTTTATTTCTCAGATGTGATTTTTGTTATTCCTTTAGCTGCTTGAGTCTTCTTGATTATACTGTATCTTTCTTAGATACGATTGAACTGCAGCCTACTATAGACCTGTCCAAGCCATACTGCCCAGCAATATAAGACATCTTCTGTCCACTCTCTACTTTTGCTATTATACTCTCACCTTTTGAAAATAAAAACTGACACAAAACTTAACGAGTGCTTGTCCAACAATCTTGCAAATACTATTAAAAAATTCTATCTGTCAGAAAAATAAAAGGCTGGAATTACAAGAGAGTTTCAAAGTTCAGAGGAATACTATCCAATCAGTATAATACTGGGTTGAGCTTCAATGTCGACACCTTTCATGCTCCAAAAAGTTTCAGATTGTTGCCTGAAGTCAAGGGAAGACCAATTGGTATTCATTATTTTACGTCGCTTCTTCTTGTGTTTGTTCTGTGAGGTGTTCATTGTCTGAACATAAAAATCTTTCATGAAAGTTCCATTATTTAATTTGTTCATAGTCCAAACCATTTGTTAACCGATCATCCACTGTCTTGTTATTTGTACATTACAATGATGTCTTATGTTTAATTAACATTTTATTAGACTTGATTATATTTTTAGTTTTCTTATAAGTTTCGATTATAATCCCGAAACAAACAGATACTTTCAGTGGATAGTGTACACAGATGGTTCTAAGCAAGAGTGCGGAGTGGGAGCTGGTGTGTGCATTCAAAACAACAACAATAAGACAATATATCAGGCTAGATTAAAACTTGCTAAACATTGTAGCATTACGCAAGCTGAACTATGGGCCACGTACAAAGCAATCACCCAAATAAAAGATAACTTAAATAAATACAAGGGTAACATAAAATTCCTTATTGACAGTAAGGTAGTTCTTCATGTCTTGGCAAAAACTGAAAACATCACGCTACTGGGCAAAGAAGTTATTAAAGTAGCACAATATCTCAGTACTACCCGCAATATTCAATTCAGTTGGATACTAGCTCATAAAGGTCATAAAGGAAACGAACTGGCCGATTCTTTGGCCAAAATGGCTGGTACTCTCAAGACGCAGGATACATATACCAGGTTACCAAAATCAACACTGAAAAATTCCTTAAACGAATGGGCACTACTTGAATGGCAGGAAAATTGGAATAATTCTACAACGGGGAGACTTTGCCACCAGTTTATTCCCTGTATTACTAATTGCATCAAGGCTAATTACTACAAACCTAGATCTGAAACCACCCAATGTTTAACAGGGCACGGCAATTTTATGGCCTACCTCTACCGCTTTAAGAAGAGAAACACTAATAAATGCCAGTGCAACAATAATAGTGTAGGAGATGCCATTCATTTTATATTCCACTGTGCACGATATGAGGATCAACGCATTCCATTTTATAGATAATGCATTCAAGAAGGTCATAATTGGCCACCGACACTACAAAACATTTTTGATAAGAACAATCTGTGGAAGTGTTTTGAAAGGTTTATTGAAAGCACCAGGGCCCTTCTGCCAGACTTCTACAGGAAAGAAAAAATTCTTGAGAATGAAAACAAGAACAGACAAGATGAGCAGGAAGACAGTGAAAAATCGGAAAAGTGATGTTATCAGCGATTGATTGATCGGCCGTGTAGAATTCTTCTGTACATAGTTTAGTTGTCTAGTATTAGTTTAGTTTTAAATTCTAGATTAAAAAAAAAATTCCCATTTATATGTATCGGGTCCTCATGTACCATGTAATCTGTATTATTATATCATAGTAAGCTGATATTTACATTCTTTCTGCGTGTTAAAATTGTAATCTGTTCTTAATATTATTGTGACATTGCAGTGTTCAAGGTTAGTTTATACCTACCCATAAGTAATGGGTTTTACATTTTACTATAACCGGACCATTCCTAGTAATTGTTAATACTGTATAACGGTCTTGTCAACTTTTGTAATTTTGTTTATTAATAATTTCCGATGCAGCGCTCTGAGGTCCTAATAACTTTTTTCAGTGTTACTTTTCCCCTTTTCCTTTATACTGCTCCCTTCAGAACCCTTTCTTCAACCCTTTCTTCACTCCTTTCTCTTCATAGTGGGCTAAGTTTGCAAAAGCAGACAGCCCTTCCTCCTCCTTTATTATTATTATTATTATTATACAGTACAAGAAAACTAAAAATATAATCTTTAATAGTACTATTTAGCCAGTATTTTTTCACATAAATAAAATCTTTATCTAATAATTAATTAGTTCAATATTGTACAAATCAATGTAATCATGATATGATCATTTCATATTTAATTATTATTAATATAATTTTGTAAAATTTTGTATAATTCAGAATGATGGAATTAAAATACATCATTCTGATATTCCAGAGAATTTGTAACCTAGTGAGTTTTTTACCATTTTATTGTAAAATTTAAATGAATTTATTCACTAGATAAAGTGTTTTTACCTCTTCTGAAAAGTTTGTTGTTTGGCATTTACAACATTATGACATTGCACACTTCAAATAATTTTGAATGAAACAAATCAAATAATAATACATACGACATCATTGTAATAGAAACTAGTAATGTTGTAAGCTATAAATTTTTTCATTTATTGTAAAATAAAAATAAAAATTTAAAAATGACTAAACTTTGAATTTATTATTCTCTTTTTATAGAATAATCTTCTTAGAGGTGGTTTTATTAGACAAACTCTGTCTCCTCCTCGTAGTCCTTCTAGTAGTCCACCATCGTCATGTTCTCCACCTCATAAGATAAAGAAGTTTGATTCTGATTCAGATGAAAGCTTGAATAATTTATTAGATGCATCTTCTGAGTTTTATAAGCAAGATGAAATAGATGAATGAGTCAGTTAAAATTTTACTATTACTATACATTTATTAGTCATATTATTCAAGAGTGAAAATTGGAGATAATATAGCAAACTCAGAAAAAGAAGGTGATAAAAGATTTATATATTCATTGTAATTTATGTTGTTTACTATTTCTAAAGTAAAGTATAAAACAAACAAATGCTACTTTTTTGGAATGTTAAAATAAATAACTGTAATGATAAACTTAAATTGGGAGTGCATGTAAAAATAATTTTTATATTTTGTTATATTTGTATTTTATATTGTTTTATTGAAGTTATGCCTGAAAATAGCAATTATTATGATTTTTCCATTTAATATCAAAATTGTTAACATTGTGAAATATAAACTATAAAAATTACTCTTCTACTAGGATATGTTTTTCTTGTTATTTTCTTATTAATAGTTAAAAATAGTTTGATTATTGCAGATCATAAATCTTGATAAATCTAATGAACAAAGCTTTCAAACGAAAATTTCTATCATAAAATTTATTCTATTCTAATATTTGTTACATTCAAGATTCATTAATAATAAGTCTGTTCATGTAGAAAAAAATTGTATTAAAATAAGTTTTCAAGTATAATTAAATCTAGTCAGATGTAGATTTATTTTAAAAAACAGACAATTGAACTTTTAAATATCACATCATTAAAACTTCTTTTGGCACTTGTAATAAAATGTTGTTCTTAAAATGGAAAAATTTTTCCAAAATAAAATCTTGTTTAGCAATGTTTTTATTTCCTATAGTCTGTACTGAAAGATCCATCTGTATTTTGAAAAATAAAATATTTTAAATGAAATTTGTTTCTTTATTCATCAGTAATACAGTAATAACTTACAATTTCTTAGAGAAAAGTTGGAAAGAAGTAAAACTTTATAAAGACAACTTTATATCCGTTTTATTGGTATTTAAAAACAGTCAAACCTTAGTATCCTTAAATATGGCTTGTTAGATTCCATGCCATATCAGAATATAGCTTTATAATGAGTCACAACCTTTTTTCACTTGTCATTGCATATAAGCATAAACCATAGTAAATGATACCAGAAATATGTGCACAATAATGCTAGGCCTGAAAAAAGATGCAAAAAAAGTAAAAATCTCAACAACAAGGTAAGCTGAAAATAATAAACTTTCTCCATTACTGTGTTAATATGTAAGGACAACTTTTAATTTCGTACAGTTACATGAAATTTTTAATCAGTTGGAACCTTAACACTTTAAAGATATTCTAATGCTTTCTAATTTTATGTCAAATGTCAATGGCATTTCACCAAGTATAAAAGTATAAGGGAAACTTCATTACGTTCTATAACTGTATTAATAAGAAAATTTTCCTTCTCTTTAATTATCTTAATTATTTGTGAAGTCCTGGATTGAGTAAGTCTGTTTCTTCCAAGCAAATTTTATGGCCGACATCACATCATGTCTATTTTTTGTTGTGCCATTTTTATATACTTCGTGGGTCAGAATGCATCAGATTTTCAATTTAGCCCTATGAAAAATCTTAGTCGCTAAAGCGGAACGGACGAATATACCATTTTAGAAGCACGACGTAGCGAATGTCACTGATCAGGAGGAGACTTTTGATCTCTATTTGCTGACTGGACGACGCTAAAATATTGTATAAGGTGCATTAACAGCCATTTGAACAGTTTATCGCAAGATGAAATTGTTCTCGCACATTGTACTGTACAATAAAGCTTGAGTGATACCTGCCGGTCTTGTATATCCGGAAATGTATCGTGCTACGATACATACTATAGTTATAAACTCGCAAGTAACAGGGTTACTGGGTCAAAGGAGGTTTAAAAATTAAATATCCTAAGCATTCGCTTAAATATTATCTTTTATTTTTCCTCTCTCCTGGGTACCTGTTGAGTGACTTGCTGTCAGAATAGACTGAGATGCAAAGCAATATAATATAGTGTATGGTAAAATGTAACATATAAAATGTGTTATGTACCAGTACTGTACATTATATAAATATGATTGTTAAGATTATTTAATTTGAATAGAGATAGGGCTATAGTTTGTTATGATGTATTCTAAATTACAGTATATCAGTGTTATATTAGAATTTTGTATCGTTTGATAATTTTTTTATATTAATCATTAGAAGTATTATTTTTCAAAGAATTTTATTTATTAATTCGATTTATCGTTGAAATTAAACAAATTAAAAATTTTTTTGACGATAACGTTCAACATTTTTTTAAATTTTATCAATTTTAATAAATGTAGCAAGACGAAGCTTATGCAGTAAGAAGTATAAATATATTACTTTGAATAAATGGCACAGATTAAACGCCTAGATTATATTACATTTATCACAAATTTAAAATATAAGCAAATTCGTAGAAACAATACGACTGTAAAGACAATTCAAATTTTAGTAGAAATGGCATACGGGCCTACGCAGCTGAATGTATTTACACAGAATTACTTTATCCAGTTTTTCGAAGTCGTCATTGTGTCTTAAGTGACGACACAAAGCACGTTTCAATAGAAATCTTACTCAACTTCTTAAAGTAACTAATTCGTGACTCTCATCTTTTCTCCTGGCCTTTGGAACGGAAGAGATAAGATAAATCTTACGTAATATGTTTTTACTAAAAACATTAGAAATACATTCGCTTTAAACTGGGTGTATGAATTTATTATAGAATCATTTATAACGCAATAAATAATTTTGAGAATTAATATTAACCGATATCTTAGTTCGATGCTATTTAAATTTCGGGGGCGATTCAGAAACGTGCCGGAAAGTGAAAGTTTGAAAATTTGCGTATAATTATATACATAAAGTCTTCATTGAAAACGAGGTGTCATTTTTATGACGTTAAAAGCTACCTGAGATCCGTTTGTTTAATTTAATAAATATTTGAAAATAATAAAACAGTAATTTATTTATTTTTAAAGTATTAAATAAAATATAAATGATTATAGTGATTATATTTGACATTTATTCCTGAATAAATATTAAGTTTTTTTAAAAAATTTTATTATCATTAATCATATATTTGATTAAATATTACGGCTAAAATAATTTAGAGTAAAAAATATTACTGGAATAAATACTTTTTTAATGAGAAAACTTAGTGTTAATTAATTTGAATTTAATATGGCAAACATTTATAACGTTTAAAAATATATTTAACACTAAATATTAGGGGCATTGTTAACTATATTAGTCTATTTAAGTGTTAAACACGTGATGAAAACTATGGCTAACTCGTTGATCAGGTACCAATTAAGTGTTTAGATGTGGTTTTATCCTCTCGGCCACTAGTGGGCCATCAAAAATGTCTCGAGAATATGTAATAGGGAAACACAATTAATTGCTAGCTATTTTTGTCTAAAGTATATTAACCATTTTAAAATAAAATGCTAATTTAAACGGGGATATAATAATCTGTGTACAAATGAGATGTGATAAAAAGAAGACTAACGACGATTCAAAAATATTTAAAATAATTTTTTTTTATGATAACGTTTATTTAATGCAGAAAACATATGACCCTATTTTGACTGACATTTTAAAGTTATTGGAATTATGTTAATCTTTATTATTAATGGTATATTCTGAGAAAAATAAAAAGGAAAAATAGAGGATATAATCATGCAAATAAATAGGTAAAACCAAGGGATTTCCCTTTGCATTGCCTGTCATTCTTTTTTGGATGCGATTCATTTCAATTTAAAAGTCCTTCATTTTTTTTAACATTTAAGAATTATTTTTGTTAGAAATAGCTTTTAATTTAATATAAAATATAGAAAATTTAAATTATAATCATATGAAATTGTTATATTTTAATTAAGAAATATGTAAATTTATAGGAAATCTTTACTAATTTTTAACAATTTCTTAAAATTTGCATAATTTCTAAATATATCGTAGACTATACCAGAAATGCTTTTACGATAATGCAGTGTGTGTGTGTGATGTCGTAATTCTTGTTGTAGAATAAAGAGCCGTGGAAAACCTTGAATGAAACAAGTTATTCTCGAAAAAGTATGTGGTTNAATTTATTGAATCGGAGATGCCTTTCAGCTCGATTGTTAAAGGAGGGAGGGGAAAAAAACTTTGTTTTTGAACTTGATGTCAGAATAGTTTTCAGCACGAGACTCAGGGGACAATTCTCCCTTAGGTCACATTGTATTATTAATAGATTTAATTAAAAACTTGGAACTAAATTATCGGAAAAAGATTAGAATCTTTTTCTTTTATGTTTTTAACGATTAGACTTACTTAATTTTTAGTAGAAAATATTTATAAGAAATTAATAATACCCGCCAAAAAGATTATATTAATTAGTCTTATATATCAAGCTTATCAAATATCAGTAATAAATTATTACCGAATTCAACTTTATCAAATTTTGAGAAAAGAAATATGATAGAAAATATCAAATTTTTCATAATTAAGATTAATCGACAGTAATTAATTAAAGAAATCTAAAAGAGAAACAAAATCCTTTAAGTGGGATTAGCACTTTTTTATCTTTGTGTTTTTCTATACCCCCGTTTTTTTTTAATGAAGGATAATGAAAATCTGAAACACAAACACAATGGCAAATAATGAAAAGAAAAATTAATTAAAAATACTTGTCGATCAAATTCTAAAGGCGACTGCTGCGTTAATTTGTAAAATTTCAACAACAAATTATAATACAAAAAAAAAATTCTGTAGATGATCGTTTTAGTTAGAAATTTTGTTTCCTGTAAGGTTGGTACTAAGCGATTTATCTCACGTTAGATAAGCGTGTGTTGGACTTACCATTTTTACCTCTTATCTTCGAAGAAAATTAAGAATTTAAATATTAAAAAAAATTATTATTATTATTATTTATTACTTATTTAAAATGAATTGAGTTTATATATTTGAAATTTTTTTATTTTATTTTACTTTTCTATTTTGAGACAATAACTTAAAAAATGTGCCATTGAACACTCGTTGCGGGTTCGCGCTTCACCAAAGAGCTGGCCACGTATGGTTTTCCACGTTTTTTTTTTCTTTTCTTCACGTGTCTAACACCTAAATAGAGGTCAGTTTCCCATGGAACCTTCTCTCGGGAGGCATCTCCCTCTTGACAAATCGCACATATGTTGCGTTATCGCATCCATCGAACTAAACGAACCAAACTTAAAGATGGTAAATATACATTAAAATTTAGCACTTAAAGTAACGTTTTAATAAGATAAATATAAATATAAATAAATATGTATGTATTTTAAATAATGTGGAAATACATTACCCTTTCTTTAAAACATATTCCCNAATTATCGAAAGAATTAAACGGAAATAATCCGATTTGGAATAGAACGCTTAAATTTAAGATGAAACTTTAGTAAAAGTCGTTAGGAACACGATAGAAATATTCAAAAATGTTCGAAAAACGAACGAGCAGAAAGCTCCATGATGTGCGAATACGCGCATGCGCAGATCTAGACACACACTGTACGCATTCCCTTCATTTTTTTTAACATTTAAGAATTATTTTTGTTAGAAATAGCTTTTAATTTAATATAAAATATAGAAAATTTAAATTATAATCATATGAAATTGTTATATTTTAATTAAGAAATATGTAAATTTATAGGAAATCTTTACTAATTTTTAACAATTTCTTAAAATTTGCATAATTTCTAAATATATCGTAGACTATACCAAAAATGCTTTTACGATAATGCAGTGTGTGTGTGTGATGTCGTAATTCTTGTTGTAGAATAAAGAGCCGTGGAAAACCTTGAATGAAACAAGTTATTCTCGAAAAAGTATGTGGTTCGGAGAATCAAATCATTAGATGTTTTTACTTACGAAATCCTCTCTATAAAATAAGGAACAACTTTTCTAGTTTGTGTAGAATCGAAAGAACTTGAAATGAGGAGGGCATTATTACCGATTCTGTTATTTTCTTTGGAAGGAGTTTTTTGTGGTTATTCTACTGGTTTTCGTAAGACTCCTGCACCACAAGATGATAAAGTTATAATTAATCCCGTAATTTATCCATCTCCTCATCCTAAACAACGCTTCATTGGACATCACGAAGGATGGATTAAAAATGCAGACGTTGATGGAGGAGCTGAAGTTCTTGATATATCTAAACCTCAAGTGGAGAAATTTCCGGTAGCGCCGCCAAAAGAAGAAATTTGGGATAAAGATACATCATCTATAAAAGTTGAACCTCATATATATCCTCCAAAAGATGTCATAATAAATCCTTCAACAGACTTTATTATTGAAGAGCATAAAGACAAACATCCAGAACCAATAGATACTGTTAAAGATGTTCGTGTGGATCACCCTAAGGACGTTCCAGTAAAAGAAATACCTGTAATAGTAATACATGAAGAACCCAAAATAATAGTGGATCCTCCTAAAAATGTGCACATAGAAGACAAACCAATAGTGGATCATCCCAATAAAGATCAATACGAACAAAAACCTGCAATAGTAATAGATCATAAACCCGAAATAATAGTGGATCCGCCTAAAGAAGTATACATAGAAGATAAACCTGCGATAATAAATCCTCCTAAAACTGTGCACATAGAAGATAAACCAATAGTGGATCATCCTAAGGAATATCCTTCAGCAGACTTTATAGAACAAAGACCCACAATAAATGATAAACCCAAAGTAATAGTGGATCCACCTAAAAATGTGCACATAGAAGATAAGCCAGTAGTAATAGTTGATCCTTCAAAAGATGTTCAAGTAGAAGAAAAACCTATACCATTCATACCTTATGAACCGGATCAAGATCAGATTAGAGTTTTACCCGAAATACCTTATCCAGTCAAAGTGACAAATGAAAATTCCAATTTGAATTTATATGAAATGTTGCAAAAACTTCAGCTATCACGATTCGTACATTTAATAGACGAAGCAGGATTACAAGAATTGTTATCTGGTGAAGGTAAATAAATTATTTGAGTAATTTGAGTTGAGTAATAAATCAATTAAAATGTTATTAATTTTATAATTTACATTTACAGAACCAATTACTATTTTTGCTCCTTCCGATTATGCATTGAGCAAATTGAAAGCTGATGAAATAAGAAGATTAGCAAGTGATCGTGATTTATTGCGTCAATTTATTTTATATCATTGCGTGGATGGATCAATTTTTGGTTCAACCTTAGTGAATGATCCTCTTAAAACTAAGATCGATAGAAATATTCTTTTGGCCAATTATCATGGAGAGGTACGATCATTTATTATTTAAATTTTAAGATATACATCTAAATGAAATGATACAAGTAACTTTAGATTTCAAATTTATTTGATATTCAATTGAAATGTATGATGCGTATTTTTAAAAGTAAATATTATAGAATGAGTTATACAGATGCTGTAGCATGTAACTCAACTTATGATCTTTAATTAATTTTTATTCTGAAACGAAAACATTTTACATCATTGTTTATGTCTTGTTTGGTCATTACAGAAATGGTACGTCAATGGAGTAGAAGTAAAAGTTAGAGATCAAGTGTGTAAAAACGGAGCTATTCACATTATAGATGCACCTCTATATCCTTTTCCAGTAGGAGGAATTTTAGAAACACTAGAAGCATCCGGAAATTTTAAAATATTTTCTGAATTATTAAGGAATGCAAAACTTGATGAAGTTTTGAAAGGTATCTTAATCTTACTTTACGATGTTGCAATGTAATTAAGAAATTTATGTTAACATCATATGGTTTGTTTCTAGGAGAATCAAGATGGACAATTTTTGCTCCTACTGATGCTGCATTTTCTAAACTTCCACCCGCTAATGTAGAATGGTTAAAATGGGATATTCCAGCTATTAAAAGTAAGAATATTTTATCCGCTATTTAATTAAATGTTTTATAGTTTAACACAATTCAAATTTCTAACGTAAATTTTAAAATTTTCAGATTTGTTTAATAAAGTAGCTTGTAGGGGTTATTATTATACATCTTGGATTAACAGTGGATCAACTAGTCCTCCCTTATCTCTAGCAAATGAATCTATGGATTTTTCTGGTTTTCCTGGTATGTATACTATTAAAATATTTTATGGCAATTTTAAATTTTCATATACATGAATTAATCAATGATATATAAAATTTTCAGATTCTCTCATTAATGGAATCAGTTTGAGTCAAAGAGATATAACTACTGATAATGGGTGCATTCAGGCTATTGATGATATCTGGTTTAGTTCTATTTTGACTCCAGGTGAAGCTTCTGTTGGAAAGAAAAGTTAAAAAAAAATATAAAAGAAGAATCTATAATAATGAAATTATTACAGTTATGTATAGAAATATCATATATATGAACTTTTAAAATAAACAAGTTTGTAATTATATTTAACTTTATCTCATTTTAAATTTAATTAAATTGGGGGTATAAAAAATCTATTAATGATCATTTAGTTAGAGAGAATATAAAAAATTCTTTATATTCTCTCTAACTAAAAGAAAAATACTTCTGTTGAGTGTGATTTCCTAAGCCAAAGAACTAATACATAAATTCTATAAAATATAAAATAAGAAAGATTGTAAAAAAGGGAAGGCACTGACGTCGGCGTTATGTGTGCGTTTTTTATTCGCTAGTACTTTCGACGAACATATAGCCGTCGTCATCAGGCGAATTATCGAAAGAATTAAACGGAAATAATCCGATTTGGAATAGAACGCTTAAATTTAAGATGAAACTTTAGTAAAAGTCGTTAGGAACACGATAGAAATATTCAAAAATGTTCGAAAAACGAACGAGCAGAAAGCTCCATGATGTGCGAATACGCGCATGCGCAGATCTAGACACACACTGTACGCATTCTGGAGAATGCTAATTTTTACTTAATTGCTTGTATAGTGTGACCCATACACTGGGCAGCTCGAGAGTTGGAATGTTGCACGTGTCCAAGGTGGTAGTAAGAAGAGACTCCCATATAAATACGATTTTTCGATCCTTACAGCTCTTGAGCATAACCGCTTGGGACCATAGCGGGTTGTAACCCTGCTCAAGTACTTTTCTTGCGAGCTCGGTGGTGTGTCTACCCCTCGCAACATCGTTTTGGTGCTCTTCTAGTCGGCTGGCAAGCATTCTAGTAGTGGCCCCGACATATCTTGCATTTACTCCCGTTGTAAGGTTTTCCAGAGGTACAGCATAGACCCCCGACTTCTCAAGCGTGGAAAATTTGTCCCTATCATTACAAATGAGTTTGCGTAGGTTTGGAAGTGGGGTTAGTGGTAGTATAAGGCCGTGCTGCTTAAAGATTCTGCAGATACGTATAGAGAGGGGTCCCAGGTATGGCAACGATGTTTGTACCATTGAAAATTCTCTTTTGCTGCATAATGTGGTACTTGGAAACAGTGATTTCTTTACCATATTGAGCACGTGCGTAAATTTTGCACGTGAAAAGCCAGCAGTGCGTACCCCCAAACTTATGTTGTCTAACTCCATGTTTACCAGCTCTTGCGAAGATGATAGTAAGTAAGCCCTTCTAACGAGAGAGGCAATGGCAGCATTGACATATCGAGAAGGCTGAAA